ATAATAATTGAAATGTGACTGTATTTTACAAAAATACTAGTCTACTAAAACAGTGCCAAGACAGGTTACTTTGTAAAGACCAAACGTCAGTTATATGTTATTGGATACGGTAACATGAGTGCATGTGTGGTGTGTCATTGTAATTTCTGTATTGTTAGCCAGGCATGGCTGAAAGGTCAATATAATAAAAATAAGAAACAAACATAAATGTATAATGTTATGAGATTTAAGCTATTTCATCTAAACATTTATGTTTTCGTGTTATAATTTGTGTTCATTCTAGAATGGAAGAGGCATAATTTATATTTATTTCCTAAATCTTTATAGTAGTCACGAGATTGGTCAAATCTACAGAACCTGTACAGAGATTTGTTACTGAAAATAACAGCTAATATATAAAGATTTTTGTTAAGAAACATTTGATAACTATCTGGACATTATAAAGATTTCACATGTGAAATTTGAAAATTGTCTGATGCATAAAAGTATTTTTAATCTTGAAATTAAAATTACTTTGCATGTTAGATAGGCAATATGCAAAAAGAAAAAAAAAAGGCATGAGAAAAACATTGCTTTACAAACCTTAAGACTTAATAAACAAATTTGATATTTTGCACATGAAAGCATTGTAATGTTTATTGATAATCTGCCAAATTTCGTTAGCATTCCCTTACTAATTTAAAAGTTATGGCATGAAAATTATAACAAGCACAAAATAGTTACGAGGTCGGTCCCAGTGACCGAGTTGAAAAAGTTAATTGACGTACTTTAATTCTTCTTTGATCATATGCATGGTATAGACAATGTGACAAGATACTCAACTCAATTATAAGACAATACATTTACTCTTAAATGTATTATAATCAAACCTGATGAGTCTGACGTATTGGAAAAAGAAACAGAAACATGTTATTGTTATTTACTATAGAAAGAGAAACAGTACAGAAAGATGGATTAAATTCTAAATCATGACAGTTTCTGTTAACTTTACCATGTTAGTAGTTAGTCCCAGCTTAAACTAAAGTTGATCTTGCCAAGAGGAATCATGTCGGATAATTAGAATATGAAGAATAATAACAATAATTACAAACGAGCTGTTTTCAGCATATTTTCTTTTCCTTTTAAGCCTAACATGTTTCAGCACTTATAAACACCTCATATTTTTGGTAACAAATCAATAATAAATCAAAATTCTTAAATAAGCTCAATTAATACAGTAGCTACATATTAATAACTTACAAGATTATTTGATAGTCTGTATTTTTAATGTTCAAAAGCACAGGTCATTATAGAATTTTTACAAAAAAAAAAATGCTATTATAGAGAAAAGGAAACTACTTTTCTTGTTGTCAGGATATTTTTCTTTGGCAATGATTTTGTAAGGATATCCTAACCACAATTTAAATTTGGTTATGTACGCTTCTCATGTTTCTAGTGGAAAATTTTCTGTACAACATAAAAATAGATTTTTTTTTCCCTTTTACTTTGTAGACACAGCCTATTTTCTACGATACTTACTTAATTACCCATTCCAAAGCTTGTCCAAGAGACACTGGTTTTCCTTGAACATAATTAAAGTCTAACTGATGAGATAAGTGGGATGTTGCCTCTAAAAGTCTGTTAAACTCTCTTTCTACCATTTCATCCTTGTCTTTAGGGACCTATTGACAAAGATAAAAATCAAGTCTTCTCTATTCGCATCCATTTTTTGTCACACTTAATCCTCAAGAACCAATTTTTAATTAACCAAAAGTATTTCCTGTTCTAACTTGTAATATTTATAAAAAATAATGACTGAGTTCATTTTAATTACTTTCTATAAAAGCAGAAAATTCTACAAAGAACATTTCTGGAGTGCACTTCCTCTAGAAGCCTGGGCAAATGAATAATGTTTTAGACATATTTTTTCCATAAATTTGACAGCAGTAAGACTACAACAAACTGTGTTTCCCACAAACAAAAACCCTATAACCAAGATCTTTCGAAAGATGGACCTTTACTTTCGTCATAAGGGAAAAACAGGTTTTGCCCCTGATGAAGAAAGTGTTCGGGTTACAGGGTTTTGTATTTTTGTGTTAAATTGATTTTTTGAGCCTACGTGTTTTCCCAATATTACAGTTAGTATTCAAGTATTTGAATATTTTGACTTAGAAGTTTTATTCATGAAAACAAAATTACTGTTAAAAAAGGTAAAATTCCAGAACCTCCTCATCACTTACCATAATGTCAATCCACAGTTTTGAGTGTTTGAACTAGTTTTTAACACAAAAATATCTTCATACACTACTTAATGATATATCAAAATATCTACACACTACAATCTGAAAGTTAAAGCAGTTAAATGTAACGAAACCTATGTGAAGATAATGAAGCAAAACGATAAAGTACAGTGAATATAGGAGGTGAACTTAGACTACTTAATTGTTTTCAAATATATGGCTTTGTTTTATTCTCATTACATATTCTATAATACTTGAAATGAATTTCATCTTGGATACCTTTCGGGTCATAAAGGTCACTCAAAATGACCACTTTATTATTGCTCTATTCTTGCTGTTATTTTTATTATTTAATTAATTTTTTAATGTATTTATATATAAATATATATATATATACACATTTTCATTTAATCCACAAGCATTTTAATCTTATTCAACAGAATTCTCCTGTGCTGATTTGAATTTTTTAGCCAAAGTGTAGCATTTGATGATGCAGATAAAAAAAAAAAATCACAGTTGTTACATGTGTATACCAACAAAATCTTCACCATCTGGGTACTGACCCCATGGATATTCTCAGACGAAATTAATTTCATGCATTATAAAATATGTAAAAATAATAAAATAGCGATATTCAAGAAAACAGTTCTTAAATTGTCCAAATTTTCCTCTTGTATCATGTTCACAGTACTATTATTATTTTGCCACATTATGCTTACATAGGTTTCTTGACTTTTTATCCCATATTTCAAACTCTCCTCAGTTTATACTGCTTAAATATTTTGATATATCGTGAAGTACTGTATGAAGATGCTAGTTTGAATACTCAAAATTGTGGTTTTGGCACTATGGTAAATGATGTAAAAATTATGTTTTTTTTCTTCTTTTTCTGAAGTGGATTCCATTTCTTTTTTAGAAATAATACTGCAGAAAGTCCAAATATTTAAACAGAATCATAATCTATAGGTATAAAACATCTGAAAAAATCAGACAAACTGGATTTGTTTTTTACATTTCTCTTAATTTATCCATTTCAGATTCAAAAATTAACATTTCAGATCTATCTTTTTTCCTCACATAGGTCTCTGCCCAAAAGACTTTTCATTCAATAACAGAACTCATTAGTTGGGCTTGATGACGAGAGACAACAGATTCTCTGAGACATTATATACATACGAAATATACTATTTTAAAAGTTATGTCTAAATGCTAAAAACTGATAAAGCATTAGAAACCAAATGATTAAAATGAATAAAAACCACATAAACTTCAGACGTTTTTCCCATATTCCTCTTAATTTGTCCACTTTTAGTTCAATTATCAGAGATACAAAAAAATTGTATTTCAGGTAATGCTGTGAAGCCTTCAATATTGTTATTTAATACCAAGATCAACAAAACAGGGACTTCACATGACACTTAACAAGATTTTTTCTACAAAAATTTTTTGCTACTTTTTACAGATAAAGTATCAGTACCTCTAAATAACCGATGAATAAAGCAATGGAAAATACATTATATCAACCACACCACACGTGTCATATCCAGTGCAAGTCAATTTTATTTAAATCATTTACAAATCAGTGTTTAGGATAAGAATTAATAACTCAGCATTACTTATTTTCCAAAGATTATAACATTCACCTCAACTGCATAAATAAAACTTGCATAGAATAAATAAAGTCTTATTATACTGTAAAGCTTTAAGTATCATCATCCCGTAACAATAAAAGAACTTTACACTTAACTTATAATATTATAAAAGTAAACCATTTGTAACATTTCTTACTGTATTTCCATTGGATTCGTACAATGGGCACTTCTGACGAATTTTGTGCAATTCCATGTTTATTTGTCGACTCAATACAGTCATTGGATTTCCACCTATTGGAAATACATTTGTAAAGTTGTCAGGTGACTTTTTATCATAAGAATATTTTTATTCTAACTGAATATTTAACTTTTTCAAAGACAGTTTTAGTATTTTATAGTGTCTATACTTATTTTTGTTCTAAAACAAAACATACAAAATAATTAAATGTTAAAAAGATTTTTGAATGTTAATTTAATGATTTAATAAAATCACTATAATTTCTTCATTTCTTAACTTGATATTTGTTCAACTATTGTTAATATCTCTACGTATGACACCATGGATTTGCTGCTGAATTGAAGTTTGGTTTAACCTGAAGATAAAACCAACCACATTACTGAAAAGGATTTTGTAATTTCTGACTAGACCATCTTCTGTGAATTAAGTATCAAATCTTACACTGAATAACTATAAAAAGAAGTTGTCATTTTTTTTTAAATATCAAGATTACATTCCTGAATAACGAAATTTATAATATTTCAGATAAGTAACACGAAGACTACTTTAATTAATGATCATAGATATTTTTAGCAAAACACAAACTGTTCTCTCAGAAGATTAGTAGATAAACATGGAAAGTGAACCTTAAGAAGTCATCCTGATTATGGAAAGTGGATGACTTCTTAATTGTCCACTTTCCATAATCAGTATGACTTCTTAAGGGTCCTGATTATGGAAAGTGGACCCTTAAGAAGTCATCCTGATTATGGAAAGTGGACCCTTAAGAAGTCATCCTGATTATGGAAAGTGGACCCTTAAGAAGTCATCCTGATTATGGAAAGAGGACCTTAAGAAGTCATCCCAATTTATTTCTAAGACAGATTTGAAGACCTTATCACTTTATCAGAGTAACAGATAATTCTATTACTTCATGAAAACAACAGACGGTAAATTCAGTACATGTATCGAATACAAACATGCTCATTTACCTAAGCCAGTCACAACCATTGCTCCTAGGTCAGCTATAAAATTTCCTTTTCGAAATGTGGCAACTCTTCCACCAACTCGATCCTATAGCAAAATAAACAAATACGTTACAGTTGTAAAATTCAATATCTTTCAAACTTACTAAAAATTTCATACAAATATGAATCAACTAGGACTAGTTTAAATACAAATATGAATCAACTAGGACTAGTTTGAATATAGATACGAATCAACTAGGACTAGTTTGAATATAGATACGAATCAACTAGGACTAGTTTAAATATAGATACGAATCAACTAAGACTAGTTTAAATATAGATACGAGTCAACTAGGACTAGTTTAAATACAAATACGAGTCAACTAGGACTAGATTAAATACAAATATGAATCAACTAGGACTAGTTTAAATATAGATACGAATCAACTAGGACTAGTTTAAATATAGATACGAATCAACTAGGACT